TAAGTACCTTTTCTTGAGATTGGTACTCAAAAGGACTTTGTTATTCATTCAGAGAGGTACGGGTAGAAAATCTCAGGACTGATATCAATCAGTTCAGGACTGATATAAATCCCAGGACAGTAATTGACTGTAATCTAACTGCAAAATCATTGTCCTAGGTCGGCTGTTATCAGCCTTGAAATACAGTTTTTTCTTCTTACAGTAGTTTAAAGCCTCTTCTTAACTTAGAATGGAGTACAAGAACCAAGGGGAAGGTGCTTTTGGGACTGATGGTTCAGGTAACATGACTGAAAACACCTTTCAGATTACAACTGTTAAGTTTGATGGATCAAACTACTTGGAATGGGCCCAATCCGCCATGATGGCTATTGGGGGTAGAGGAAAATTGAACTTCTTGCTAGGGGATGTGAAGGAACCCTCCAAGGAGGACCCTACTTATGCTAGGTGGGTCCAAGAAAATTTTTTGGTGATGACAAGGCTGTGCAACTCTATGCAGCCACACATCAGCTGAAACTACTTGTGAGCCAAAACAGCTAAGGAAATATGGGATCTTATGAAGGAAACTTACTCTCAGCCTCTTAATGTTGCTAGGGCTTATGAGCTAAAATGTGAGGTTAAAAATCTGAGGCAGGGAGAGAAGCAGGTCTCTGTTTACTTTTCAACCTTAAAATCCCTATGGCATGAAATTGACCATTTTGAAACAATTGAGTGGGAGAGTCAGAAAGATGCACAAACATATAGAAAGCAGGTTGAAACTAACAGAGTTTTTGAGTTCCTAGCTGGTCTGAACTATGAATATGACATTGTGAGACAACAATTGTTTACAAGAGATAGTGTGACTTTATCACAAGCCTATTCCCTAGTGCATAGTGAAGAAACTAGGAGAAAGGTTATGTTGCAGTAACAACCCTCCGAATCAGCCTTGGTAGCAGTTAGACCTAAATCTAGGGGAGATAAGGAAAAGAAGGAAGTTAAGAACTTAGTATGTGAACACTGCAAGAAACCTAAACATACTAAGGACACCTGTTGGAAGTTGCACCCTCATCTAGTTCCAACAAAGCTCAGAAATAAGAAAGGGAATGCTAATATGACTGTCAACACTGATAGTACAACTTCATTAGGCACAAGAGGCACTCCTCTAGATACCCTAGCTGCAGTCCGAGCTGCTCTGACTCGGCTAGAAAATGAATTTAGTAATTCAGCTCAGCCTACATCAGCTCAATAGCCTACTTCAGCCCTTGCTCATACAGGTACAAGAGCTACTACTTGTCATGCTTCTGTCCCAGGTAATACTAGACCTTCCTAGGTAATAGATTCAGGTGCTTCAGATCATATGACCAGCATATCTACTCTATTTAGCACCTATTGTTTATCCTCTGGGAGAGATGAAGTTTCTATTGCTTATGGCTCTCTTGTACCAATTTCTGGCAAGGGAGACATCAGATTATCAGATACCATCACCCTATCCTCAGCCTTGCATGTTCCCAAGTTTAGTGCTAACTTACTTTTAGTTAGTAGTATTACTAAAAATCAAAACTGTTCGGTAACTTTTTTCCCTGATCAATGTATGTTTCAGGATCTGGAAATGAAGGTGATTGGGATTGGCTGTGAGATGAATGGAGTCTACCTGCTAGAACATTCACAAGGGGAGTAGAGTGAAGTAGGGATAATAATGATATGCATGAAGTAAGCAATCTTAAGGGATTTCTTAACACTGATTTTGAAATTAAGAATTTAGATGAGTGAGTTGAGATACTTCTTGGGAATTGAAGTTGCTTGGTCCAAGGATGGTGACTTCATCTCCTAATATGTAAGTAAGTATGTGCTTGATCTTCTCACTAAAATAGGGAACTTGGAGCCACACCTATGACTACTATTGACTCAAATCATTAGCTCTTGACCATAAATGGTGAGTTGTTATCTGCAAAGGTTACTTGGGAAGTGATCATATCTTCTCATGACTCGTCTTGACATATCCTATGCTATCAACGTTATCGATCAATTCATGCATGCCTCTGGAGACATACATATTGTTATAGCAGAGTGAGTGTAATGCTACTTGAAGGGTACCCCAAGAAAGGGAAATATCTTTGCTAAACATGTTCACATGAAATTAGAAGCCTACGTAGATGTAAATTGGGATAGTTGCACCGCTGATAGGAGGTCTACATCTAGTTATTGTGTTATGGTTGTAGGGAATATTGTTTCTTGGATGAGTGAGAAGCAGTCTACAATGGCTAGATCATCAACTAAAGTGGAGTATAGGGCTGGTCCGTTGAGTTTCAGAGTTATTGTGGCTTAGATCTCTTTTCCAGGAGTTGGGAATTGTTTCTTGTGGATTAGATCTCTTTTACAGAGTATAGGGTGTATCGATGCTTTATACAATGCACTTTTTTTTAGTTTTATTTTTCAAAATTTCATTTTTGTTAATATTTTTATATTATTTAATAAATAAAATAAATAGGTTCATAAAACACCTTTAAATAGGTGTATCGGAGCCTTGATGATATGATACAATACGCCAATATGGGGCGTATCGTATCAATACTTTGAACCTTGGTTTGTGATAAACCTATGATGTTGTATTGTGATAATCAAGAGACCATAAACATTGCTAATAATCCAATTCAGAATGACAGGACAAAGCATATTGAGGTGTATAAACACTTTATATGGTAGAGAGTAGATTCAAGAGAAGTATGTATGCCAATTATTGCCTCTCGAGGAACAATTAGTAGATGTTTTGACCAAGGGAGTCTCAAAGACAAAGCTACAACATGATGTAAGCAAGTTGTGCATGATTGACATCTATGATCAGCTTAAGGGGGAGTGTAGAGATATTGGGCTAGATGGGCCTTAACAGTATATGGGCCACCTTTTATTCTTTGTTATGTTTAACAAATCAGCCACCTTTTGTTCTGTGTTATGTTTAATAAGTCAGCCGCCTTTTATTCTTTGTTGTGTTTAATAAGTCAGCCACCCTATTAAGGGCATCCATGTAATTACACCATTAGTAAAAGTGATTTAGGGGGCTGGAGAGTGGTACAGTTGGCTCTTCTCCTCCCTCTTTCTACTTTCTTTGATCTTTTATCTCTTCTCTTTTGCTGTTTTCTTGGTTAACCTCAACACGTATATTGCTGGTTTAGTTTTCTTCTCATGCAAACTCTGTCAGTTGAAAGGCATATAGCATTTCTAATGTGCTAAAAAAATTAAACTTACCCAAGTCCTTCATGAGACCAAGCAGTTTCATAGACTCCATATGCAGTGTTAAATGCCATGTCAATCATCCCTTCATGAATCATACTTGCAGCAAGAGAATAAGTAACTCCAGACCATATTTCTCTTGACTGCATAGCCGACATGTCAACTCTTCCATCTGGTAGCATTCCATTCACTGCCCCCCGCCTCCCACCCTTCACCCTTAAGACATTGAAGTTGTAAACCTTCTCAAGTGCACTTTTTACTTTTTCTTTGTCAACTATTGGCTGAAGACCACATGCTCGAGCATACCTTTAAAGCAATCACCCCTTAAATTTGTTAGTAGTAGGAAAAGCTAATAGGAGAAAACAAAGAATGTTATACAGTTCCATTTGTGTATAACCAGAAATCTCACTCAGGATCTTCTTTCTAAGAAAAACTTCATTGTATTTACTATTTTTCTTTTCAGTTTTTGTTTTGTTGACAACAATTTGAAGAGTATTAGACAAATATTTATGCAATAATTGTTTAGGTGTTTCCACACATCGAGTTCCAATAAAAAGAAAAAATATTATAATTTCCTATAAATTGACAGAAATGATCTAGTTTTGATAATAATGGTGAAAACTAAGGCTCCATTTGGTTTGTGGGATGGGAACGGAAAATATGGAATGTTCTGGAAAATTCCTCCCTTCCCATGTTTGGTTTGTGGGGTGTCATGAGATGGGATGGGAAAAAGGTGGGATTATAGATCCCAATTATTAATACTAAAACCATGATCCAAAAATAAAGTATTAATTATTTAACAACATATTAATAAAATAATTAATAAATAATTTAATAGTTAATTATTTTTTCAAAATAAAGTATTAAAATATTTTTAAATAAGCCATAAGTATTAATAAATTAAAATATTAATAATAAAATATAAACTCATAAAAGTATTAATTAATGTTAATAATTAATTAACTAATTAATATAAAATTAATGATTAACACTAAAATACTAAATCATAAAAATATTATTAATTAATTAAGAATTAATAAAAAACATTTAATAATTAATTAATATTTAAATAATTATTTTATAATTAATAATTTAATTTAAATAAATAATTTATCAATGAAAATAATTTCATGATTTAAAATTACCAATTAAATCATGGGTATTAATAATATGTAATATTAATAACAACATATAAACTAATAAAATGTAAAATATTAATTAATTAACTATTAACGGATTTTAAATAATTAATATCTAATTATAATAAAAAATTATTATTGACTAATTAATAATTAATTGATGTTTATCAATATTAATTACTTATAAAATTATTTCATTAAAATATTAATAATTAATAATAGTAAAATATCAAATAATAAAAACATTACTAATTAATTAATTAATAATTGTTATTAGGGTTGATTTTCCCACTATTTTCCCTTTTGCAACTAAACAATGGAGCATGAAAAATGTCCACCTATTTTCTCTTTCCCATCCCACCAAAATCTTCCCACAAACCAAACGCATCCTATGTTTAAACAAAAGTAGTAAAGATAAAATAAGTATTGAGAATATCAGGATTCAAATCTTCACCCAGAAAAGAAAAGAAGGAACTGTCTAAGAAAAACATCCACTGTATAAGAAAAACCACCAACCCATACTGTGGCCTAACATAATATAGGGGTCCCACTAATTGTGGAGAAAGAAAAGAAACCTGACAAACATAAATCTCCCAAACAGACTATAATAGATCAAATTCCTGGTCAACTATACAAACATCAACCATTACCTTAGATACCTATCTAAATGCATGCACCAAACCAACCAAAACCAGAACATCCACAAAACATCTCAGAAAAAGCACAAAAGTGACCCGATTATAGGTATCTGGGAAATTGGTGGAACTTTGTAGAATTCTTTTGCATGTCATAGGTAATAACACCACTGACCTAGACCATATTCAGCTTCTATTTATACTTTTCCTGGAGGCCTGGTTTTACTCAAGTTTTCTACTAATAGAAAATAAAACAGAAGTACTTTAACTGCATACCATTGCCCAGCCAATTGATCAGCCTGAATAGATGAACTTGAACTGTCATTGTTGTTGTCATAATTGAAGTAGGATCCATTCCATAGTTTCTCATATACAGACTTTGCCCTCTGAAACTTATCCCAGAAATAACCTTCTGAAGTCTTATCACCAACTTCACGAGCCATGAATGAAGCAGCCTGCAGAGCTGCCACCCATAGGCCACCACTGTATGCACTCACCCCAGTGACTGACCATACATCATAAGTCTGATCTGGAAAACCTTCATTTTCAATCATCCCATCTCCATCCTTGTCAAATTGATCCATGTAAGCCATGGCTATATATACTGAACGCCAAACAGATTTTGCAAACAACTTATCACCTGTGACAACCACATCCCTGTAGACTTGAAGTACAAATTTAGGATTCAAGTCTTTCCATCTATCTGTATTATGAAGGTTATAGGCATTTACTTCAAACCATGGGTCATGCATCCCAAGATCATGAGGAACAGCTCCAAGAACCTTTCTTGGGACCCACCGGCCATTACTTAAAACTTGCATCCTACTGGGGTCATGCATCATTACCGCTGCTGCAAAGTCTCTCTGGATGCTAAGTTCAAGTTTTGGGAAAAGCATGACTAATGCACAAGATGAGTAGAAATGAACATCATAAGTATTCCACATATGATATTCAATTCCTTCAAGATAGAGGAATTGACCAATATTTTCTTCATCTTTTTGAAGCAAGAATGTTCCAAGAGCAGAGCTTGATTTGACTGGAGTATGAATCTGCTCAAGAATTGACGCCATCCTCTCAAGGATATCAACAGAAGTGTCATTTTGATGAGCATTGTCAACTGTGTTCTTAGAATCCGATCTATACCTATCAAGGGAAAACTTGATTTCTCCAATAGATGATAAATTCTGCACTGGCTGTGCTCCGTCTGCGGAAAAGGAAAGGTGAACTTAAAATTAACTATGCAACTCAGCTGCTTGGAAGTAGATTCTGAGCTCAGTAAGTACCAGTCCAAATTGTTCCTCCTGCATTCAGGTAGTAGAGCTCGTTGAAGAGGGTTATAGGGTACCTGTTCAAAACCTTCAAAAATTTAAAAATCTCTGAATACAGAATAACCCATATTCATATACAAAAAGAGGCTTATTTAAGCTCACCATTCAGGAAGGCTTTGATCATTGAGAATAGGCCTCTGCCATGCTTCTATCTGGGATTCCCAGTAGCAATGTTCTATTATGAAAGGAAATAAAAAAAATGTTCATAACTGTAATGTTTCCTCAACAGCATGAGATCAAATCAAACATTTCTTTTACTATTTTGTTAATATGCAATATTGTGTGTAGACAATATTTAGCAATTAAAGCATTCTATACCGCAAGTTCTAATGATAGAAACAAGGTAGGAACATGTGTAACATACCATGAATAGCATCATATGCAATATTTTCTGCTGCATCACAATTAGTGCCATAAAATTTTGTGTAGCGCCTGCTAATAAACTTTGTCAGAAAGATTTTATGACAGTTCAATGAGTAAAGTTCCTTTATCCTAATATTATCCCACAAACCTGTGGTAAATATTTCCACTTGAAAATTTAACTTCAGGACACGACCAGGCCAATGAAAATGTAACAGTACGGGAGCTGTTGGATGGAAGAGTCAGAGAAGCTGCTATTGCTGCTCCAATAGATGATCCAGGTTCTGAAATTGTTGATGTTTCACAGGAGCCAAGGTGATCAAAAGACCCATGCTATTGAGTAACACTAAAGATATCAGGCTCCATGGAGATGGTTGACAATCAAATACACAGAAAATAAATCTTACAGAATCTTTGATGGAATATTTCCATAAACAGATGATTATATGCATGGGTAGATTTACTGGAGTATTTATCATTAAAAGTAAGGAAAGAGACAAACTGCAGATAAAATATGTGGAAAAGATATTTCTCTGTGAAAGACAGACCAGTTTGATAGCTGATGTGTGTGCATGAATGCGTACTTGCATTTCTGTTTGGGTCTGAACCAAAGATAGATCAGTCAAACAGAACCTATTATGTACAGGTCCCCAGAAATAATTCCAGCAGAAATCAGAGGCCTAACAAACTAAAAGTTGGCCCTATCTGGCCTGATGAGAGTTGACAGAATTAAAAGGTCTAACAGAACAGATTCCAAAACCCAAATATGGGCTTCTTGACTTGTCTAGTCCATTTCTGAAATGGAAGTAGATTTGTGCATAACTAAAGGCAGCACAGTGCATGAAGCCCTCCCACCAATGCGGGCTCTGGGGAGGGACAGATGTATGCAGCCTTACCCCTGCACATACAGAGAGGCTGTTTCCAAGATTTGAACCCTGGTCATCCAGGTTACAATGGAGCAACCCAACCATTGCACTAACACACATAGAGATTTGTTCAAGTAGAAATCTGCTGAATTAAAAAATATAAAAGAAAAGTAGTTTCTTGAAGAGAGAAGGAAGAGAGAAGGAGAAGAAGAGAAGTTGAAAAGAAAAGAGAGCAATAATCTGGTCGCCCCCTTCACTTATTATTTATACTAAAATAATAGAACAGTACAAAGACAACTATGCACTTATAGGGCGGAAAAACATAAAACAGCATATATA